TAGTTTCAAAAACACTATTTTTCCCCAAAAAATAAGTTTTAAAAATTTCCCATTTCCTAAATATCAAAGGTTACATTTTTTTGTAATTTACCCAATTTTATATTTATTATTTAAAAAAAGAAATTGGTAAAAGTCAAAATTTGAGGATGCATCCTTCAGTCCTCCTTTGGTAAAACAGGTGTTCTACTCCAAAAGCTTTATCTCAAGAACTGCTACTTTGGGGAACAGTCTCCTAAGAGGATGCTTCCCCAAACACTACAATCTTAATTTCTTCAAGTCTAGGGTCAATCAGGTCCTCATAATCATCACGTCCTCATAATCATCACGCCCTCCTCCTCCTCGTCCTGTATTCATGTCACACATCCCCATTCAGCAACCCTCTACCTTAAGTGTCTCTTGGGCCTTGAACTGGGTGAATAATTTAGTTAAAAAAAAAATATGGTACTCATTTTCATATTTGCTGAGTAAATTTAAAAATCTAAGAATTTTCAAGAGTCTAAAGATTATAAATAACTTTCAAGGATATTGGAAAATATTTTTCTCCTCAGTTACTCTGTGCAAATATGTAGTCATCATATTTTTCAATCATATCAAAAAACACTAGTTTGCATTCTATGTAATTAGTAAATACCAATGGGGGATATTTAGCAACAAAAGAATTAATAAAATCAATAAATGAATCATTAAATATATACATAATTTTTTTTTTAGAAGTGTATATCTAAAAATTAACTTATTAAAAAAGATTTTAATTTAAACAAAATAAAACCATATAATAATTATCAATGTGTATTAATTTATTTCCTGTCCCATCTGTAGTGAGGAGGGAGGTAAATCAACTTAAGTTAGTAAATTTATGAATGATTACTTCCCTTAGTCAGTTTTAATAATTTATACAAATAAAATATCTGTATTTAGATAAAATTATTTCCCAAACAAATGAACTGTTTAATTAATCAGTTCCATTATTATGTTTCTTGGATTGCAGTCTTATTTGTTCAAACTTTTTATATGAAGCACTCAAGATACCTTTGTCTATTAAGTGATTGACTTGCTTCAACTTGGTTTTGAAATAGCCTTTGTCATCATATTCTTTGTTGTTCTGTTGCTAATCTTTTTCTTCCAAGAAATATTTCTATTTCACTGTTATATTAAACACACAAAATTTTTAACATGAAAAGATATTGAGCAAAAAGTAATTTATATAATACCAAGAGTAATCAATGGTAATCATAGGTACCATTGCACATCTAAAAATATAAAGGTAACAGATTAATTAAACAGTTCATTGGTCTCTACTTTTTAAACATTATATTTTGGACATGTTTATTCATCTGTGGCTGAAAGACACTTTTGGTAAAAATGTATATACACATCTATGCTGGGGAAGGGCTAACAATTTCAATCATTTTTGATGGCACAGGTACACTAGTACTTATACAAATACAAGTAGAATAGTTTAAATATACTGTACATAAAAGAGATCCAATTAAATAAAGAATTTTTTTAAAAATTATAATTAACAGCAATAAATATTAATAAAAAACTTTTAGTTTGAAATTTTCTGTTTTCAATTAACTATCTGTACCAAGTGATGAGGAGAGTTACTTTCAAAGTATGACATGTGTGTGTATGAATGGAGTAAGTAAGTAAGTAAGCGGTTGCGCATGAGATGTCTGTAGCCAGACTTTCAATATCTTCTCCAAGATCCAGCTGTAATATTGGGTCTAGTACAGTAGATGGAAGATCAAACTTAGATAGAAGGATTACTCTTCTTGCAATTCACAACACATGTAAAATCAGTTTGAATTCAGTTTTCTTTCTATCAGATTGGTGGCCTGTTAGCATAACTAATAGTTTTGCTTAAATAAGCATTTTTTTTTTTTTTTTTTAACTGTGACACTATGATTTGGACATATTCATAGAAGGGGATGGTGTGAGATTTTATATTACATCTCAAGTGTTTCATTGTCTTATGACCAGAAATAAAATTTGTTAGATATGGTCTTTGAAGTGGTCACCCACTTGACCAAAAGTGAATAAAAGAATACATAAATAAATGAAAACTTTTGGGAACAAGTGACAACAAACTGGACAATGAAGACTTCTAGTTGGGATTGTAGTAGTTCAGTTCTGGACTACATGTTAATGGGAACAGGCCATGTTTCCATTACAGTTGTCCTCAGCCTTGTATTGGAATGTTCAGATGGGTAGAGAGTTGGTAGGATGAAGAGTTGAGGTAAAAAGCTGATCTGTTAGTCCAAGACATCCAAAGTGGCAAAAGTTGTCCTAAATGTCACCCACCTACCCATACAGATAGTGCAATTATATGTTTACACAGACCAGTAAACCTATGCCACATGAACACACACTACAACATTATGGAACTGCCATAAACTTGTATATTGCCTTGTTGGCAACAGGTTCTTTAATGTTAACAAGAGTCACCTTGGTGAGTCTTCTGCTCCATTCAATATACCATAAAGTATGCCAAACTGATTTGCTGAATATGCATCTGGTATCTTCTGTATTAAACATGGAAGTGATTTGAGCCAGTGTGACTTGTCTCTTAACATAGGCTACATTCATTAAAAACTTATGATCATCCGCTGCCCTTTTCACAGTGGGTAATAATGCTTTCCATCAAGTATTCCTGATATGCACAAGAAACCAGATATTAAGAAATGTCAAATGCCCTCTGTGTCTGGCACTCCCTATTATGTCCTCCATTTGAATTTTATTAATTCATCTTTTCTTTTATGACACTGACAACATTCCTGACTAGAGATGATCAAAAATATTCAAACATGAACTTTGAAGAGTTTCTCCACAAATTCGATCAGGATATGCAATAACTTATTTGTAAATTGGAAAAATATAATGAATAAATGTATATATTTATATGGGCACCATGAAACCACCTGTGTTTGAATCTCGCCATAGCTTATTTGTCAGGGGAGGCAATCCCAGCATGTGACACTTTACAAAGTGCCTGAAAACCATGTGCCAGGTTAACCAAAAACCTGTGAGTGAAATTTTGTAGAGGAAACTGTTTGGAAACCATCACTGATTGTGACTGAAGGTTTGAGCATACTAAATAAATGACACAGCTACTTATATTCAAGGATGCCTGTCTATCAGGGCAGCTAGCTAATCCCCATTGCAGACACCTGTTTAGGCACATTTGTGTTTGTTCAACACCCACAGGGCATATCTGTGGTTTATACTGCAACTATGCTGAGCAGACCTTAGTTACAGTTTCTGGGAGAGTGCACATTATCTAGCATGACCAATAGTCCGAACAATGCCAGCACACTCAAACCCTCAGTCACAATGACTTGTAATGTTGTGCTATAGCACAATCATCATCGCCTCCCAAGGGTTCTGTCTATCCAATTTCACTCACAAGGCTTAGGTCAATCCATGGTATGGTTTTCAGGCACTTTCCAAAAGTACCATATGCTGGGATCACCTCCTCCAGATGGGTAATATCAAGAAGTCACCTTCCTGACAAACTGAGATTCAAACTCAGGTTTCATGGTCAGAAAGTGAACATTCTAATCACTCAACCACATACCCATGATCATACTGGTGTTGTTCAAACTGCTGATCATAATCACACATAATATGATTTCTCCCAGATACTGTAAGGCAGGCTCAGTATAGTTAAGCATAAACTACAGGTGGTTTCTTGGAAGGTGGGGGTTAAACGCAAATGTGCCTGAGCAGGTGATTGGCTAGTCACCCTAGCAGACATGTATACTCAGAAAATTAGAGTAACCTGACATTATGTAGAAATGTTATGGTAAATTTTTTGAAAATTTAACACGTAATACATTAAAAATAAATATCTGAATAAAAGAAATAGTTAAACAAGTAAATTAGATTATTACATAGGAAGATGTTAAAATAAATCCAAAATATAGTGATTTAATGTAGGAAAATAAAAAAGAGTTATGGTAAGAAAAATAAATTGCATATATCTAAAGAAAATATTGAATATATATATAATTCAAATTATAATTTGTGATAATATTATTTAGATGTTAAGGAAAATATAAAAATAAAAATTTATAATAAAATAGTATTAAGGTATTTAACCAGTATCTATTTCAATATTATTTTTTTAAGTATTAGAAAAGTTGATATGGCAAATCCCAGATGCTTTTAACATTTAGTACTCTGCATCATTTATAAATATTACTTCCTTTTACTGTATATGGAATCACTTCAATATATATATATATATATATATATATATATTAGTTTTATACATTAGTTCTATATATTTGAAATTGCAGTAGCCTGGCTCTCAATTTCAGTCAAGATTGTTTTAGGTATTGGCATAAAAGGACATGACTACACAACCAAGAAATTCAACTTGCATTGGCAAGACTAACATTTTGCTTGGTGAAAATAGTCACCTATATAGTGCTAAAGGTAAGATAGTATTTCATACATACACTGATTTCTGAAGGCACACATGGAGCTATGTTTTAAGAAGAAGCCAAACAATGATGATTTTTATGCATGAAAATTTTCCATCATAATCAATGAAAAAACCACTTTGGCCACTTCATCAAATAAGTGTCTTTGAAATTTATTTTATTCAAATATCCATTATTTGAATAAAATAAATTTCAAAAACACTTATTTGATGAAGTGGCCAACTTGTTCAGTCAACCATAACCTAATTGAAAAATTGTAGAGTTATCGGAAGAGTTAGTTGTTGTTGTTTAGCCATATATCAACCTCTATGGGTTATTTAATGCCAAAATCTAAATATTTTTTTTGTACACAATTATATTTTATTTTTTGGAGATAATAATGGTTTAGTGATACAAGTCTTACTAATTAACCCATAGCTGGAGTATAAGAGGTGGATTCATAACTTTCCCAAGGGTATTTGCACCTAAGTAAATATAACGAACCCAACTGGAATTAGCTCTCCGATTAAAAATGCTGAGTCATTATCCATTACACCATCCACACATCCAACCTTACAGCACCTGATATTCCCAAGAGGTCACCCATCTAGGTACTGACTAGGCTCAACATTGCTTAACTTCCATGATTATATGTGAACCGGTGTTTCAACAAAATGTGGCCATAAGCCAGCTTGTTTAGTGGTTGGCAATTTACCAGTAACTTTGGAATGCTATTTTGGATCTTAGTCTGTTTCATGTGAACGAAATATAATGGCTTACAAAATAAATGGAGGAAAGAACTTCTAAAACTAATAATTTTTAATTGCAACATCATATTTCTTGGAGTTTTAGTAACCTGGTTAATAGTGTGAAACTTGAAAATCAAGTATAATTCATAAAACTGTTGCTACCTAACATAATATATAAAAATTATATGAGTATGTGAAATATCCTGTAAAGTGTAAATATTTCATTGAACCTTTGCATTAGTTTTCTAAAATTATGAAAAATTGAAAAGTGGTTAATAATGTAAAATGCAGTATAAAACACAGAAATAATTGTAGCAGGATTTTATTTGCAATATACACCTTTATAAACATTTTATTTTTCTTTGGCTCAGTGACTGCTATTTTTTTGCCTCAATCAATTCACAATGAAAAATATACAAGAATATAACAAGACTGTAATTGGATACCTGGACTGCAAATAGCAATTCTACTGATTAGTACTTGTTTGTTTTTGTTTTCCTCGTAGTCTTTCCACATACAGATTTTCTAAATTCTCTTTCTATGATGTCAGGCTACTATATTTCCCGACATCAAGGACACACTGGCCTGAAGGATTCACCCAAACTTTGATTTGCAAAAGTTTTATGATAATAAGTAAGTCAAACAATAAAGTTATGCCTGTTGGGTGCAAGGTTGACTTTCAACAACTATTTCCCCCCATTTACCATCGTAGGAAAACTAAATTAAAAAAAAAATGATCCTAACTTTAGTCAAAGTGATAAAACTGTATCTGAATTCAACACCTTAGAAATAATATGAAAATGCAATTAGAAATTTCAAACAGACTTTCCATTTTGAAAATAAAAACAAAACACAAAATTCATTTTAGCAGAAGGTTAAATCTTCTTTAGTCAAACTAATACCTGAAGGAATTTTTGAGGAAAATGTGTAAAAGACGTGCATAAAGTACTTGTTCATATAGTAATACTAAAGTGAAATACTTGTTTATATAATGGTACTAAAAGTTAAATAGTTAAAAAGGTAATTCCTTACTCCTCTCAAAAACAAATTTAACAGACCATTGTAATAATTTTGTTCCAGTTTTCAGTAATCTCTTGATTGAAATAATAACTGCAGATGACAGAAATTTTTTGATTGATTGATTTGTTTTTTATGGCTTATCAGGTTATTTAAAGCTGGAAAATATATTTGTTGTTTAGGAGTTAATATTTTCTGATATAAATCCAACTAATTAACCAATAGTTGAGAGTGGAAAAGAGGTAGATTCCCAAGGGTATTTGCATGTAGGTGAATATAACAAACCTGACTGATATTGGAACTCAGATCTTCGATTTCCAATTCTGAGCCATTATCATTACACCATCTGTACATCTAAGCTTACAGCAGGTTGTATTCTCAAAAAAGTCATTCATCTAGGTACTAACCAGGCTCAATATTGGTTAACTTCACTGATCATATGAGAACCGATGTTTCAATGTGACATGGCCATAAAAGCAGAGATGAGGGAAATTTCAAGTATTGCTGATTTGAGGCTCAATTGTGAACAATTGAAATTTCTACTCCAGTTATAGAATTATGCAGTTAGAATTTCAAAACCAATTTTAACCCTTTGCCTGTCCAGGGCATTTTCCTGTGTACTATCCAAATGTTCATATTTATTTTCAGGCAACTCAGCTTATTTGGCAAATAGAATGTGCTGATAGCGTTTCATATAATAAAAACCTACACTTCACATGATGCACGGAATATACAAATTCACTGGGTGGAGCATTTACTGCTGGTGGCCTACTGTCAGACCACCAATGTGTTTGTCTCAGCAATGATAGCACTGACAGACCACTAGAGGCCCACTGGTGGCTGCCACCAGGGGACTAATTGTCATCAGTGGCCCACCAGCGGGCCACTGGTAGCTTGCATGTAAGGTATGTATATGCAAATATAAACATATATATTTGTGCATACACACAGATATAATGTGTAAATTATACACATTATATATGTAATCAATATTTTTAATGACCACTGAAGTTGATTTTCTTCTCCTAATAACCCGATTCAAAGTGAATTAAATGAACAAAATCCTTTTTGCTTTAATTCATCCATGATTAGAATATTGCTGCCACACATGGTCTGGTGCTCCTGCTATTTACCTTGAGCTCCTTGATAAAATTCAAAGAAGAATCTGCAATATTATTGGTCTTGATCTGACAGCTAGGCTTCAGTCACTTTCCCACTGCCTCTTTGTCTTTTCTATAAATACTTTCATGGTAATTGCTTGGATGAGCTTTTCACTATGGTACCTAGACTTTTTGAATTTAAGCACAGTACTAAACGGGCATCAAGATCTCATCAATTTACATTTCAGCTGGCTAGATGTAGTCATAAATTCTATACTAACAGTTTCTTTTCTCACACTTCTCGCTTCTGGAATTCCATGCTTTCCAGCCAACTTTAATCTGCAAAAATTTAAATGCAATGTCAATTGCTATCTACTGTCCTCCTGATTACTCTTTTCTCTTCCTGCTCATTATTAATGTTTTTCTTCTTAATTCTTCCACACCCAGTAACCACTTGTATCTTAGTGGCTTTTACTGCCTTGCATCGGGTGATATTGATTAAAAAAAAATATTCTCAACAAATCTAGAATTTCTCTGGTGAGACAAAAAATAATATTTTCAATATGTTATAAAGACAAAAAATTTAGCCATAAAAGTCAAAGCAATTTAGAAAAAAATAATTAAAAATTAAAATTTACTATTATTAACCCAATTTTTTCTGGTGATGGAAATTTATATCATTACATTTCTATTGCACCCAAATTGTGAATGAAAGTAATTTCTTACGTTGTTCATTTAAATCATGTGAAAGAATTTTAAGTAATATAACTATCAAATAACCACAAGAATTAAAAATCAAACTGTAAGAAATCAGGTTTTAAAATATATATATATATATATATATATATATATATATATATATATATATATATATATATATATAATTCAACATCATTTACTCACTTTAAACATGAAATTACATCACTTAACATCTTCCATAATTTACCTCGACTTTTCAGTTAGCCTGATGAATATTTATGAGTATTTCTTAAATTTAAAAAATTTGAAAAACTAACATTTTCACTTTTCTTGTTGCAAAATAAAATCCTTAGAATTGCCTTGATAAAGTCCATCAAAGGACAAAATGTGTCGACTAGAATAATCATGGAAATTGGAAATCAAATTTCAGCTTAGATATTAATGAAGTGGCACCAAAAATGATTGATGTTAATCAACTGGCTAAAAGGATCTACAACAACTCTCAAAAATGTCCCATCAACCTTAAGAATAGTCAAGTTAAAGAGAAAGTTAAAATTATTTCAGTATATTAGCTTTGAATATACAATTTCTTTCAAATTTAATGTAATATTTTATTTATAAGAATCTCTAATGATAAAATCAATTCTGTAAAAACTCCTATAAACCTTTTTTTTTTAAGACAAAAATAAAAACTAATTCAAATGGTGATTAACAAATTATCTTTACAGGGAAATATTTTTGAAAATAGCCTTCTGCAATTTTGAGAGAAGAGTTATCATTCCAAGAATTGGTTCAACTAGTAGATGTCGTTCTTGTTTTTGTTGTCCCACAAAATTCCAGCTGATCATTTCTGCAGCTTTGTTAGAAAAAAACCACATTAAGTAAAGAGGAAAGAGTTTCCTTTAACAGAAACTGAGAGATAGATATTATCAACACAAGGCCAAATGTGAAATAAGATATTTTTTTAAATGTACTCACATAAGACTCAAGGTCACATGTGGAGTCATCCATAATTGCTTGGTTCTCAAATGTCAAGCATGAAAGTTTACATCTGATCCTATTCCATCTTACTGCAATAGGAGAGAGATCCCTAGTGAACATTCATTTTTAACTTGATATTTCCTTCAATTTTCTCCTCTTCCAGTAATATTCCTTATCCCAGAGAGGATAATATGATCCCTTTTTCCCTATAGATACAGTCTGCCATACCAGACCTTTCTGTTTTTCCCTTGACTCTGTTTCTCAAACTCAACTTTTCAGAGGTTGATTGATTTCACTCATATCCCTTCTTTCATTTTCATGCAATATTTGAGATTATATATATATATATATATAATCTCAATCTCTTGTTACCCACTTCTCTCATGAGGATCCAACTTTACTAAGAAAGTTGCAGAGTTGTCAAGCTATTGAAACTCACCCTAATGCTCTAATGTCCATAAATCACCTGGATTCATTCAACAACTCCTCATATACATGGTATGCTTTCTTCTGCAATATAATTGGTATCTCTAAGCTTTATCCTTTTATTGCCCATCCCAGAAATGACAAACTATTTCTCCAAACACAAAAGATGTTTTAAATTAAAATTCAAATATAATCCTTATCTGTTGCTTTTCTCAAACCACCTTCCAAGTGGATTACTAGAACCATAAATAAATTTATTATAGCATTCTTATTTTTTTTCCTGTCATAATTGTAGTGATGTTTTAATTAAGTCCACATTATTTATCAGAATTAGAAACCAAAGTAAAAGGTTTCAGTAGTGTTAATCATCAGGTCAGTTCTTTAAAGAACTCCATGTAAATGTTAAAATTTCAGGCTAAAATGCAAGCTAAACTTCTTCCTGATAATATATACCATATATAATGTGACCTTTGAAGACCTAATTTTGAAGTTAATTTGACTACAGTAAATGGATATATAGCTTGGTCAACAGCATAACTAGGGCCAGCAGTATATATGCTAATATTATATCTTATGTATGATGCAACCCCCTTAAAATTAGCTTCAAAAATTAGGTCTTCAAAATTCAATAATATGTGAATATATATATATATATATATATATATATATATATATATATATAAATATATATGAGGGCCCAAATTGAAAATATGTTGTCTACATAAAAGGTTAAGAAGCTGTTTCTGAAGATTCTGGTAGGATTCTTATGAAAATGATTATTTTTCAGTTTGTTAAACAAATTCATCATCTCAAAGCCTACTATTTCTGATCAGATGTTAAAGGCGTTTTTAATCAATTCAACAAAATGGTCTTGGTCACTCATATGAAACTGTCTTTACAAATCAAATACTCTAATGAAGTAAAATGTTTTGTTTGTTAACATAAAACCCCCAAAAACCAATTCACTGACAGAAATAGAATATTGTCAGTTAATAATAAATTTTACAAACAGTAAAATACTTAACATCTTCTGAAACAGATTTGTTAACTGAAATTAAACTGATGCTTAAGGATTTATTCAAACTAATATCTTCATTGTTTTCATTAAATCATTTTTAACTTTAAACATTAGTTTACATTTATCAAGAGTTACTTATGCTTTGAACAAGTAAACTGAATGATAACTTTTCTGAATTTTGTTAAACAGTTTTTTAATCATTGTATGTAGCTTTCTTTGAATTAATTTGTCTTTTTTTAACCTCACTGAAAGAAGACATGACACCCACATGTCTAATATTCCATATTCATTTACAGCAGAGAGAATAACAGTGAAATTAGGCACTCTAAAAATGAGACTTTAGTCACAAAAAGTTATAACATGAAGAGACACTATAAAATCTGGTATAGCTGACCATATAGAGGAACAGGAGGACACGTCAACGTTTATAGAATGAGGTAAAAATAGACAGAAAAGAGAAAATAAGAAAACTGAAGGAATCTGCCTGTATATTCTACTCGGATAAACAAATAAGTAAACCAAGTATTGAAATTAGAAGCATGTGGATATCACTAATCAAGAAGCAACAGGCAATGAAATTGGGACCCTACTGATATGGTAGTGCATACAAATTTCAAGGAGCTGTCATGAGTTTAGCACAGAAATCAGGGCAAAAATCAAACATAACATATTGGAGGAAGGCAGTATGTGCATGCATACCCAAAATAGGATTCATCAATATTTGGGAATACACCTGAAAAAGGCCAGAGTGTACATGGCTGAAACATCATATAAAATAAATAAAGATAGAGAAATTGGTCTGAATTAAAACAGAGTGAATGACATCAGCTTCCATTGAAAACTTTAAGGCTGCAAACTTTATCAGACATATTAATTTTTCTGTGACAATAGAACAGCTTTCCAATCCAGCAATATAATCAGTTGTTATATAGATAGCAAAATCATCTGTCAAATTCCTTGTCCCGAAAAGTTCTTCTCTCTTTTAACTAATTGTTTAAACAAGTCAAGAATTTACGCTGACATTGTACAGTAACAGTCTATCCAGGTCCCAGCAATATATCTCTCTGAATCCAACCAAACACGGATAAGAACTTTACCCCTCGAATAGATTCCATTTAAGTCGTTCACTGCTGCCCTGGGTCAGCCCACAATTTTCTTCATTTGGCATTCTGATAATAAATTTTTTTTTATTTTGTCCGATTTTTAAAAAGATTTTTCAAAAAAGTACCATATATACTTGCATATCATACAACTTTTGAAAACCTAATTTTGAAGCTAATTTTAAGGGGATCACACCATACATGAGATATGAAATTAGCGTATCTACTGCTGGCGCTGGCGACGCTGTTAACCAAACCATATATCCATTTACTGTAGTCATTTTAGCTTCAAAATGAGGTTTTCAAAGGTCAAGTATATACAGTAGAATGTTTAAACACAATGTTTGAATGTTCAATTCCAGAAATATGTGGAGCAAATTTTATTTTCTGAATTTTTTTTTACAAAATTAAAAAAAAAAAAAAAAAAAAAAATTTTAAATTGTTAATTATTAATGTTAGCAAAAAAAAATGATTGAGTAAATATTTAAAATGAAATAAAATTTATGAAATATGTAAGAGTTAAAAATGTTTCCAAAGTAGTTTCAAAAATACAATTTTCTGAGTCATTAGAAGAAATACAAAATAAAATATGGAGAAAAAAGTTTTAGGAATAAAAAATTAAGGCATTTTTTTTTCAGGTTGATTATTGTCCAAAACTTTGTTAAGAGGAGAAACTATGTTTTTCATTCAATGAAAATATATAACATTAGAAAGCTGAATGATGGCAGTTTTCAATGTGACCTCAATTTTCCTTGAGACCCGAGGTTTTTAGTGAAATATTTCATACATTATTTCCTTTGCTTTCTCTTTTACCTTTGAACAGTAAAAAGCTAATGTAAAAACAAATGATTATAATTAGTAGACAATTCAATTTTTAATCTTCCCTAAAGAACATGCTTGATGGAATTCCTTTTTTTCTCATTACCTATTCCCCCACCCCTGACTCAATGGTGCTGATCTGAAATAACTAATAGGGTTCTTTTTTTTCTCTAAATAATGCTGAAATAATCATGTATTTTTTGAGAAAATAAGATTTAATATCAAATATTAAAACTAGTGTAGAAAGAAATTTTTTTTTTTCTCTTTGTATTTCCTATGATTGAACCTTATCCTCATCTATACCGCGTATCCTATTGAATAAAATATGAAATACTGTGAGTGATAATCAAAACAAACATGAGAGAAGCGGTTCAGTTTTCCGGATATATTTATAAATGATATTGTAAAACAAATCAGATTCAATAAATCGAGAATGGTTGTTCATTATAGCAGAGAGCCTGTTCAATGAATTCTGGTCTAAACAGTTTGGGGGTAGACCCTTTCATACTGATTGAGGAACCAAATGAATCAGTCAAGCAGCTATAGTCATATTGGAAAGAGGGACTGTAACAGCAACAACAATTACTACCACAAGCATATCACCAACACAAGCCAACAAACACGGGATGTGGTTCGATCATCATCGGTACAACAATTATGAGATCATGCAAGGATAATCGTTAACTAAATAGGGTTAGTGGGGTCACTGCAGCAGGAGAAGCAAAGACAGCAGTAGTAGTAGTAGTAGTAGTAGTAGTATCAGTAGCCATTACCTGGGTAAGTGTGTGTCCATGCCTGGGGGTAGAGGTGGTTTGGGAGGAGGGGAATCATCAGGATCATCTAAAATGCTCTCAGAGGAGTGGGATAGGGGGCCATCACTGAGCTGTCTGCTGGTAAAGTCCAGGATCTCCTGTTCCCTAGGAGTCAGTGGGATATCAGGTAGAGATGACCGCTTAGGGCTATAACAATGAAACATATAGACTCTTAATGAAATGATGAAACAGGCTCAGCAGAAAAAGAAATAGCAGTGGAAGAATTCTTTTTTTGCCAAATTTTAGCAATTTTGAATAAGATTTATAAATTTTCATTTACTGAATTTGTCAGTCAATCTTGGATTGGAAGTGTGGAGATTTTTGATGAGATTTTTAATGGGCTTCAGTTTAGGAATTTCAGCTTTTCAATAGGAAAATATAACAGAAGAGAGAGAAAGAGATAGAGAGAAAAAGCATTTTTCAACAGACATAAAATCACATTTAACAAGGATTGATACATATAATATCATAGATTCAAAAGATGAGTAATAGCCAAAATAATTGTTTAAATCATTCACATTGAACAAAGTATTTTGCATTCTAATTTAGAATTTTTAATTAGTAGATGAAATTTTCATTTAATTGAGAAATTTTAAGGTTTTGTTATCAAAATAGAAGCATTGAGTCGACATTTGCAAGAGAAAAATATGCATTAAAAAAATCATGTTCATTTGTTATATGCATTATCAGATGTAAAAGGTAAATTTAAAGAACCATTTCATAATTAGGAGGTAAAGAACCATTTATACTTCACACTGCAAAGACTCATAATAAAAAAAAAAAGTTACTAAATTTAATTGATCTTGAACAGAGATTTTGATATTAACATAAAAAAATTTAATATATAAGAACAATATTAAAACAGGTTTATAGTTGTAAAATATTTATTGATCTAGTTAATTTTTTTTAATAAACTTTTTTTAAGCTTAAACATTTTTTTATAAACTTTAAACAGTTCAAAAATGCAAAATAAGATTATGCAATATGTAAAGAGTTTCTGAATTTTATATTTAGTTATTAGTTTAATATAAATATTTTAATTTCATAAAATAAGCAAGCTATAATCATTATTGAGAAATCTGTTAAAAATTGAAAACTGATTTAAAGAATCCAGTCCATGAATAAAATGAGTCATCGTTAGCAATTCATGTCAGTCTAACTCCAAAAAACCAATCGAAATCAGTCTTTATTTTTTGCGTTAACAACATTTCAATTTGTATATTCTCTGATCAAACCTGACTAAGATCAATGAAACAGTATCCCCCACCACCACCACCCAAACCAATAACCCCCAGGCACTAACCATGGCATCACCATGCAACACAAATTTAAAAGACAGATTCCCGAAAGAACAAGTGAACTTGTACAATGATGTCTTCTTGCCATACGAACTGAAGTGATCGGACAGCATGCCAATCAAAACATTAAACACAAAACACAAAATATCAGATATCCATTTACCTATTAAACTTTGGTTGGGGGAGGACCCCGTACCATATCACCTGATTATGATCAGAGAATACACCGATCAAAACAGTGTGATAACACAAACAACAAAGATGAGGGTAACAGAAAATCTCAAATGAGTCTGCTTCCAAATACTAAACCGCTAAAAGTACATAACATTTTTTTTGGAAGATAAAGTGGAGGATAAAATGAATGTTTGAATAAGAGGCAAACTAATCCCATACCATCAGAAAGCAACATAATCAATTGTAGTTAAAATAACTGCTAACCAACAAAATGGATGATCAATTTAAAACCTGCAATAATAATTAAATAGATCTTTAACTTTACAGTTATCAATGTTTTATTCTTTTCATGTAGAAATTTGGGCAATGTTTAACCTTTGTGCCTTCAAAATTATGGTATGTCAAACTTGACGACCTTATTACCATATACACTATTGACTCCAATAACAATGTTTATTGTTTTTTAAAAAAACAATGTTTAGAATTTTTAATAAAACCCAAACATATGAAACTGGATTTATATATTTTCTTTGTTCTTGAGAATTGGCAACAAAGATATTAAACATTATTTGTTAGATTGCTTATTTACAAGAATAATTTTATCTACAAAAAATTATGTTTATTCAGATTTTCTTGTTCTATAATTCATTGATATTTTTATAAAATAAATAAAAAAAATTATCATAGTTATTTATAAAGTAGTAAATAATAAATATTGCATTTTAGTTTACATATTTTGGTAATTTTATAATTTTTAAAAAATTTTTAAACAAAATTTTTTTCTTTATAAAATGGTAAATAATAAATTATTATAAAAGGCAAATAATTACTATCATATTGTACTTGGTCCACATATTTCTATCATCTCATAAATAAACATTACCGATAGTATCAAAAGTAATAGCAGTGTCAAGGGAATAAACATCCTTATGACACACCATTTTTTTCAGGTACAAAGGTTAAACATTGCTGAAATTTGAATCCCATAAGGTCAGTTATTTAGCTTAATTTTTACCACATACTTTGCACATAACTTTAAACTAACAAGAGTTTATAATGAAAAAATTATTTAATAAAAATCATATATAAAAGTATTGACATAAAAAGCAAATAAATGTCTGATTTTATTTGGCATCAAAAATATATCATCAAAAGAATTTTCAAATATAGTTGTTCTAATAATTAACTCTCATAGGTATTTCATATTTCTCTTTGGATTGTTAATGCTCTTGGAAGTTTTTAAATAGAGTCAATTCATTTATATATATATATATATATATATATATATATATATATATATATATATATATTCACACTGTAAAAGACTAATGACTTAAACACAAAACAGATTCAACAAGCAATAACAAGATTATTTGGTTTGGGCATATTGTTGTCTACTTCATAGATAACTTTCTCTCACAATTCTCACCAGGAAGTTATATCAGGTTTTCGTAATTCTTCATAACCAGACTAACATCAATTTTTGTTGCATTTAAATTCAAATTTATTTTTTTTCAATATTGTTCATGTGTAAATGCCTTCATTTTTAAAAAGTTTTTGCTTCTACTAAAGATGTAACTATAATATTCTAGTATTCTGTTGGCACCTCTATCAATGATATAATCATTAGACTATTATTAGCTCACCTTATCACAAATAAAAATGTCATTAACTCCTTTAAATCCTATTTTATATAAGGTTTCATGGAACCCCTCCCTCCAGAAAAAAATACATTTTATTCGGGATTTACAAAACAGGAAGTAGTAAAAAACAAAAAAAAAAAATAAATAAATCTGAATCTGATTTCCCCAAATATAAGAAATATAAGGATAGATTCTCAGTTATTTTAATGAGATTCATGGCTATTGAAAGATGAACAAAGAAAGGTTAGAGGTTATCCTTCACTTAAAATAATACACTAACAATGAAGAAACCTTATTAATTTGTGATTATTGTTTCTGAATTTATTTGAAATTATTATTATTAGACAAAATATTGTCAATTAGGATTTTATTTCTTGTCCTATGATAGTAAGCACCATAGATTAGAAATAAAGAATAAACATCATCTTTTTCCTTAGAAAGACTGCTTATCTAGAGCAGCTGCTTTACCAATAAGACTACTGATTACAGAAACTCAAAATTATAAATTTATGACTAGTATTTCTATTATCACAAACACTCCATTGATTTTGATCAGTTTGGATTGAGAATAAAGAATAAGCCTCTGAGATTTGAAATGACATTCTTTTTCCTTAGAAAGACTTGCCTTTCAAATTAGGTCACAATGATTATTTCAAATCCAACTATATAACTTTCATATATTTTTCTTGAAACTGAAAACCTTATACACTGCCATCTTTAATGCTTATATGTACTAATAGAATTAGTAATATATAATTATATAAATATATTATATATATTATATATACATTATGAAATAAAACAGTTTCAATTATTATTGTAAGTAGCATTTTTGTCATTTATGTTGCATTTTAGTGAAACTCTGAGAGCATCATTTTGCAGTTGTTAGTAAACAGTATAGATTGTTATTCTTTAGTACTATTGATTAATGATTGTAATAAGCAGCAGTACTGAAATTAAGATGCAAGAAAAAGTAAAAAGTTAACAAGAAATGTAAGATGAAAGAATTGTGAATCAAAAATTAATACTAATTGACAATAATTCATCTATTGAAATGAAATAACTGCACTGTGGTTATCAGAGAATTTAGAAATATAAAACTTATAAAAGCAGATCACAAAGAAGCTAAATACATTAGCAAATTCTAAAAGCAAAATCTTTCTTTTACAAGATCTTTGAGTTATCCATTTGCTCCTGAATAAATATTAAAAGATATTTATAACATGCTAATATACTTAGATGTAGTAATGAAAAATAGTCACATAAAACTGACTAAACTTGAAAATGTAACAATTTTGTCATTATCCATTTTTAAGTAAGGTCAACGCAGCTAAAAGAATCCATAATAAATAACGTTTTTTTTTCAGAGAGAACAGGTTTTGATTCTCAAACTTGTAAACTTAATCATTTACATATAGTTGGGAATATTTAAAACAGGTATTAAAAAACATTAAAATTCTCTTACTATATTATTTACATTGTTTTATAAAATAACATCAATACATAAATTGTACTTTCATATATCTTATAAATTAAGATTTTGTTGGTTTTAAAAAAAAAAAAAGAAGAAAAAGGGATACAGCTTTTCTTCAAAAGGGAAATATTGGTTAAAAAAGAAAAGTGGAAAGGAAGATTTTGGAATGGCAATAGAAGAAGAAACATTGATAGTGGTTGAAGAATATACAAAATATATTAAGCTATATTTTGTATATCCTTCAACCACCATCATGATGCTAACCTCCAGGAGAGTGACTCATTGCACCTTCTCAGATTAACATTTTCTGCTGATATGAAGTAGAAAAATTATATTGAATTAATTGCTAAGTATGTAACTAGGAAAGGTGATTTACTGTTGGGCTAGACAATTTTTCTCACAAGAAGCTATCTTACATATTTATAAGTCTACAATTCATCCTTGCTTTGAATATTTCTGACACATTTGGTCTGGTGCTCATGCTATATATTTAGAGATTCTTGATAAAATCCAAAGAAGAATCTGCAATGTTATTGGCCCTGATCTGACATCTCAGCTTCAGTCACTTTCCCACTGCTGTAATGTAGCTTCCCATGAACCTTTATATAAATACTTTCATGGTAATTGTGAAGATGGTACTGAGGCTTTATGAATTTAAGCACACTGCTAGATTGGCAGCAAGGTCTCATCATTTTACATTTAAAAATGGTGAGATGTAACTAAACTAAGTTCTATTCTATCACAATTCTCACTTGTGGAATTCTCTTCAGGCTTCTTCCTTCCCAGTCAACTTTGATCTTCAAAGATTTAAATGCAACGTCAATCATTCTTTTATTATCCTTTTTCCTCAATAGTATATATTTCTCATTCTCTAACACTCGGTAACTCCTTACATCTTAGTGTCTTTATTGCCTTGCTTGGAGTGAAATGATTAAAAAAGATAAAAATAGACTATTTGCCTAATTATGCAACATCCTTGTAAAGAGATGACAGGCTATCTAATTTTTTCAATATCCAACTAAAATTGAATGATAATAAACTGAACATACTAAATATATATTTCATGTTTTTTTTTTAATGTTTTACTGGCATTAAAAATAACTATACCTGTTTTTCCACGAGGACAATCAAAATTCCTCCAATTTATCAGGCATTGACTAAATCTTTGTAATGGCAACTGACCTGAGGAAATTAAGTAGCTAATAGTTGTGAAGTCTATTTTAGTGATAAGATCAGATTGAAAAGAGTTAAATCTAACAATATCAGAAAGTAATGTCAAATAACTACGGAAATAAAAATTCAATAACATTTCCTTTTATGAAAAGTGAATAGCAACTTCATAGTACAAATTAAAAGGGGAAGAAAGAAATATCAAAAAGAAATAAACCCAGTAATAATTCAAATCTGCTAATCTGAAAACATTTTTTTAAAATTTGATGATTCTCATTAGTTTTACATTTAAAGTCACAATAATTGATGTTTTCAGGTGGAATGTTAAACATGACAATTAAATCTTTTTATGATGGTTGGCACCCTTCTTTTTTTTTTCTGATGACTGGTATGTATTCTAGTTACATCTTTTGGTAGACATGGGTTAACTGATAAGGACAATATGAATCTTTGGAATGTCTGGAAGGTTTGGCATCAACAAAGCTGCTATTGATATTTGAAGTCTCTGCTTGCACGATGATATATGCCAGTTAGGATTACACTTCACAAAGAATAGACTTTCTTTGAAAATGTAGAAATCCAAACAAGCTAGAAACTTTGACAAAGAATTTTTTTATATCCTACAAAAGATTCTTTTTTTTTTGGACTTCTTTCAGAGCAGCATTCAAAACATGAAAAAATATGATGAAAATTCAAACACAAAAATGTTTTTTTTTAGACAAACATGATAGTGTTTTAAAAATTAAAATTATACAGAGTCTCTGTAACTTTCTGTCTTGCAAATGTTTATATAAAATTTATCAACTCAGATTTTTCTTGTTTAAACAATTACAAAGTGCTTAACTTTGATTGGACAATGATGACAGAAGCCATGGACCATAAATGGAAATTTTATGACAGTAAAAAGTTATTTAACACTTTTGAGTTAGTCTCTAACAATATTGTTCTGTTTATTATACAATTTAATTTTTCACTTCATCTTAATGAGTGCCAGATTTACCTATAGGCTTAGCAGACTGAAGCCTAGGGTCTCAAAATCTAGGGTCCTCCAGCCTAGTTGAATAATATTTTTGACACTGACATAGGTCTTTCTTACATATGCTGTCATAATGCACTGTAGACTCTAAATAACCCTTCTGTAATTTTAAACACCCGTCATCATCCTCGGCTTTACTCAAATCGTTTAATTTAACACTCTTCCATTTTTCTCTACTCGTGAGAATGGGGGATTTTGGAGGGTGACCCCACAAGTGGAATAGCCTAGGGCTTCTCTTCATCTAAATCTGGGTCTGATTTTAACCCAAACCAAATTCAGAATTAGGAACAAGAAAGAAAAAAAGAAAACAAAAGAAGAAATATAATAATCACATCTCATTAATTTTATTTAATACTAAAAGTCTGTATTTAGACATTTACAATCAAGTTAACCATCTATTATTTTTTTATTATATATAAAATGTCTTAATGCACTGGCTACTCACATCCCGTCAAGAAAAAAACATAGAAATTCTCTTTCTCTTGAGGTATTTAGCATCAAAATAAAATTTTTACAACAGTATTTGAAAAACAGTATAGAGAAATTTTTTCCTGTAATTTTATTTCTTTATTAAATATTTCTTCTTTTTTTTAGATCACTAAGATGCAAGGTGTTACTGGGAATGAAAGTGAATGAGAAGACTTTAGAAGGAACTGGAAACCCAGTCCTAAACAGGAAACAAGAGAAACTTTTACTATTGTTCAAAAGACAATTTTTATCATTGAACACAAGAACTATATAATTAATCAGCTTCAATGTTTTTTAACTTAAAACTGTTAAACAATTTTTTTTTCAATCGCCAATATTTGTCTTCTGTTGATATTACAAATTTTTTTAAAACAATGAGATAAAGTCCTTTTCAGTTTGAGTTTTAATTCAATGTTTACTATAAATTATCAAAATATTGTGGTTATTGTTGATTTTATAAATATTCATACAAGAGAGACAAGTCAATTTGTAACACTAAGTAAAACATAACTAAAGGTCTGGTATTGCTAACAATTTTGCTATTCTGTATTTCACAAGAACAAAACTTGATATCTATCAGATTAAGCCAGCATCAGCATTGGTATACTATTTCTTTATAGAAAAATGTATTTGCTCTTGTTTATAACCGAGTAGTTTTATTTGAATTAGTTTTCTCGTTCCTTTACAAAGCTCATATGGCTTAAAAAAACAAATATAAAGTAATCATTTTATCTAAAAAATATTGTATTAATCCTAATTTTTTAAGTTTTAATATTTTATTCAATAATAATATATTATTGTCTAAAACCTTTCTACTATTGTACACATTAAGTGCCCATACAACAAGGTAAGACATCTAAAAATCAACCAACTATAATGCAGCCTAATGGTTAAAACATTCATAAATGATGCCAACAGAACAGTATCAGTGTAAGGACTTTTTACTAAAATTATTTTATACTGACACTCTTTAAAAATTCATAAACCTGAAAATAGCCAATATTCTTAGACTATAGCATACAGTTTTATCCAAGTGTGTCAATTACAATGTTGCAGAAAATATAACAGAAGTTTAATAGTTTAATCATAATTTTATATATTCTATCTTACGCAATATTTTAAACTAATTGTATAATGTGCTGTATTTATTCTAGAAGTTCCATCTTGATTTTACACAATATTTTTAATAAATTACAAAGCAGCATTACCCAATATTTTAACTTAAATTCTATTAACAGCATCAGTTTCATAAATCCATCTTTAGATATTAATAATGCATAATATTTTTAAACAACAATATTTCATTAATAGAATTGAATAAAAAAAAAAGTTCCTTTTCAACATTCTAACATTAATAATATGAATCACATACAAATCATTTAAATATCAAACAATCTATTATCTATTACATATTAATATTGCATAAACAGTATATAACAGCATATTGGACAATTTATAAATCACAAAATACATTCTTAAATATAAGTGTTTTTTGGGGGTTTTTTGCTCAATATTGCATTAATTACATAAAATCCAGTTTAAATGACAGAAATACAAGACAATCTTTTTTTTAGTTTTTTTTTTTTTTCGTCAAAATAAAATCAGTAAAAGGCTACGAAGGCATGATCCAAAAGCAGCAGAGGGCAAGGATCACAACGAAACACATTCACCAAAAGACAACAAAAGCTGTTGCAATTTCCCAAAATTAATCCACAAGCATATTGGGTAAGCCCACAACCATATCTGTAAGTTCCAGCCATTCATTGGCAGATGAAAATGGGTCAGGGTCAACAAAATAAAGGAGGAAGGCCCAGCAAACTTGAACACAAAATTCCACTCAATTCTAAGATTTCTACAAACAAAATACAAACCTCTCCTGGTGACTAGAAGCACTGATAGGGCCTGGAGATCTTGGAACACCATTTTTTCTATTTTCTAACTTATCAATGGATGCTTGTGCTAGTTCCTAATAAAGAAAAAAAAATCAAATTAAATTTAAGAAAATGATGAGACTTTTGGTATTTATTTTTACATTATACAGATATGAATATAAACAATTCTTTAGTCCAACCCTCTTTCTATAGAATTAAAATTGAATAAATTATTACAATTTGCATAAGAAACTTAAAAGAAAAAACAAAGCTCTTTATATTTCTGAGATGAGGTATTGTAATTATTTACACTATTTACATTGTTTGGACTGTTGTCCTCATTTTGTTGCTCTATTCACAACATTTCAGCTGTTGTATGTTCTGGCCTTCTTCAGGTGATTGGAATTTCAAACCGAATCCTTTATTTCATCCATTGGGGTAGATTGTTCTAGTTCCACGTGCCATGTCTCTTCCAGAGTGTACAACAGATGAAACTTTGTGAATATGACAACAAAGATGAGGACAACAGTCTGAACAATCTAAATAGTGTAAAGAAAGAAAAAAGCTATGATTTTAATTAAAATATCAACAATTTCTGGTAATAATAGACATTTACTATTGCAATTTGATAAATCTGTAAACCTAAAATGTGTAACCATAAACCACAAAAGATTTTAAAGAATAGCAGAGAGTATTTAATAAAATTAATTTAAAATTAACAAAAGCAACAGCTTTTTCTTTTTTTAATTTCTGGCATGTGGATTAATAGCCTCATATTTGTTATTACCATTGATAGCCAAGTAACCTAAAGGGAATTTCAGACTGAAACACTTTATTTAATCTATAGGAGTACATTGTTCTCATTCCATTGACCATCTCATCTTATTCTTATTTAGCTTTGCTCTGTTATTGCATGCCTTGTTTCTACTGAGTCTGTACTACCCAGCCCAGGGATAGAACTCAGAATTACTATGTCACCAAATTAATGAACCAACACCATAATCCACTAGGCTATTCAAAATGACCTGAAGGTTGCCTGGATAGACAAGAATCTAAAGATGGCCAGAGAGCACAATAGCTGAAACACTGATAATAACAACAAAGATAAGGATAGTAGTCCAAATGTAAACAATTCAAATAAAAACAATGCCATTTGCTGGTTTTTCTTTTATGTTTCCCAACATATCAAAAATGCATGTTTTGGCTTATTTTACTGAAATAAACTGTAATTAAATTTAAATAATTATAAACATGCAAATTAATCTGAAATTATTACATTATTTTATTTGTTTAAGAAAAAAAAACAAATTTATCTGATCTGGGATTTAGACATTCTATGAACTGAATTTTGTATCCCAAAATACTGTATATACTTGCATATCATGCAACCTTTGAAAAACTAATTTTGAAGTTAATTTGCCTACAGTAAATAGATATATAGTGTGGTCAATGGTGTAGCCAGAACCAGCAGTACATATGCTAATTTTATATCTCATGTATAATGAGACCGCCTTAAAATTATCTTCAAAATCACGATATACGAGTATATACAGCATATAACTCAAAAAAGTCCAATTATACACATATATATATATATATATATATATATATATATTTCATTTTATTTTATATTTCATATTTTTCTTTTTTATTATATATGTTACGTTTTTATATATATATAAATGTAACAAATATAATAAAAAAGAAAAATATAAGAATAATGGATGATTTTAAAAAAACAATCAAGACTTTCCTTTAAAATGCGACATTGAATTTTTTGAGCAATGAAAAAAAACATGTCCGTTTACTCTGACAACAGTGTTCACTATCTCTATGGGTCAGAATCATGGATACTATACAGGACACACATCAATCAACTTGATGCTTTTCATAAATGCTGTCTTCATTCAATATGCGGTTATACATGGCAGGACAAAATTTCTGACCCTGATCTTTTCGTCAAATGTGGCATTGGTGGTATCAAATCCTTTCTGATGCAATCACAGTTCAGATGGGCTGGTCATGTCATCAGAACGAATGATGATCGGATGCCAAAAATCCTCATATATAGTCAACTTTTTCACGGTAAGTGTAATGTAGGCTGTACTTGCTTACACTTCAAGAACAAACTTAAATACAATTTAAATGCTGCAAACATCTCTATAGAGAAGTTTGAACTCTCTGAGCAAAGTGGAGAAACACCTGCTACCAAGGTATAACTAACTTTGAAAAGAATCGTCTGAGAGAATTAAGAACCAACGCTAAATCTCGAGCTAATGCAGCAGCCCATATGATGGTCAACACTTCAGCATGTCCCTTGTGTGGACTTGTTTGCAAATCCCACGCAGGATTGTTGTCTCATACGAAACAAACATAAAAACTGAGCTGAAAGACACTGATATGTCCAAAATGACAGGAGAGTCCATTATATATATATATATATATATATATATATATATATATATATATATATATATATATAAAAAAAGAGAGAGTCTAAAAGTAGTTTTACATTGTTTTAATCTGTAGATAAAATATAAATTTACTTTTTCATTTATTTATAAATGACACACACACATACATACATTAAGTTTACAATATTTATAAATTAACAATTTTAAAGTCTAATAATTGCTTAAATTTTGTGATCATTTTCAATGTTGTATATTTTTATTTCTATATTTTCTTACCTGATATGAATAAATTGTTTCCATAATACATCTCCTCTGTTCATGTAATTCATTATTAATAGCAAGAGGTTTTGCCTTACTCATGCACACTTCAAACTTGTTGAATCAGTTTGAACCAAGGCGATCCTTGGTTTGAACACATCAGTTTAATGCACTAGAAAATTACCTAAAACAAAGAGTTAAGTCCCTTGTACACAGATGGAATAATAATAAGGAATATCACACTACTCATCAATTTGATTTTGAGAAAAGCTGACAAAAAGATAGGTGTCAGTATAAAATTATGTTTAATGCCTTTATTTTTTAGTATTAGCTTGTCTGCTCCATTTTTGCAGTGGAGAAACCTGAATTTTAGATTCTCCCATTCTAACAAGCATGGAGTGCCCACTGATGAATTTCATTGAAGGAAAGCTGAATATGTGGTTTTTAAGGTTTCAAAATCTCTTTTAAAGCCATTTGTATTCTCTGATTGATATTTTCACACAGCTCATTGCACAGTCACATGTTGGTATTTGATCACCATCAGAAGGAGTCTGATGTTGGATAAACCTGAAACTATCAAGGATCCCAGGGCAACATCACTGATGATTTGGTCACGGTCTCATTTTACAGATGGATTTCTAAACTATGGTTGGTCTATGTGATAAACAGGCTGAGAACAGATAGAGATTAAAAGTGAAAAATTAAATACTATATTTTTAGGATTCAATCAACTTTAAATCTAAAAGACAAAAAATATTAAAGAAATCAATTTTTGCCATTAAGCAATTCTTCTCTAACAATTTACTAATTTTTAGAAAACAGATGGATTTCAACAACTTTTCATTTGTTTCTGGGACTTTGCAAACACCAAATTTTAGTTGCTATAACTTTGAGTAAGCTACCTAAACAAGCTGAAAACACTAGCTTTCAAGTGAAAATGCTCGATTTCACTCACTTTTCCTCGATTTTATTAGAAAGCTTAAATAAGAATTGACTTACTTTCATCCCATCAGCCAGAGCTTTGATGACTTCATGGGCATTATCCTTATTTAGCTGATCATTACCATATAGCAGGATCTTGTCAGCCCAACGAATCAAGCGCGCTAAACACTGGCACACCCGATTATGGCGGGATAACATCATACTGCTGAAATACAAAAGGTCCATTAAAGAAGCATATAAATATATTAGTTAAAAATGTAAACATTTTATATATTTAAGCAAAGAATACAACAAAACCATTATGTAAAATGTCATCACATTACCTTATCCAGGTTTTAAGATGTAGGCTACAGTTTTGTGCCTACAAAGCTGCGATTTGGTATAGGTCTTCTTCATAGCCTATATATAAGTTTTATGTCACCTCTTCTCTCCCAGCTAATGGTTAATTAGAAAGACTTGTATAACTAAATCATTATTATCTAAAAAAATTTCTTACAATCTAGAAATATTATCTGGCTTTAAATAACCTGCAAACGGTTGATAAGCTGAAAAAACAAATCAATCAATCATAACTTTTATGCATGTAAGTCAAATTTATTTTTGAAATTTTATTGAATTTTAATTTACTTCATTAAAAATTATAAAATTTTCAAGTGATTTAAATAAATTTCCAATAATTTTATTTTGAAAAAAGTGAATAATGATATCCAAATTTTCTAGATGACTTTTTGTTGTGCATCTGTTCAGATATACAAGTGTGTCATGTAGAAGAATTATAAAATTTTGTTCATAAGATCTCTAAATCATCTTTCTAAATAGCTTTTACTATTTTTTTTTAATGCCAAGTCCCTTCAAGACATAAACAATTATATTTCCTCACAGATTCCTTTTTCTTTATTATTATCATGACTTTATAGTTTTTATTTCATAGTTGTCCTTCTCTTGCCACTCAAGGCTAGAGAACCCAATCTACCCTACTATTTAACACATAGCAAAAACAAGAAGAAATGAATTCAAGACTTTCCCCTGCATAGTGAAAAAAAAAATAAAAAAAATAAAAACAGTTTAAGTTGGATTTGTTTGGTTGATTTTGTTTAGCAGTATATCAACGTCTATAGGTTATTTAATGCCGAAATCTAAATATTTTGTATGAATTTTTTTAAGATAATAATGTAAATAGTAAATACAAGTCTTATTAATTAACCCATAGCTGAGGGAGACAAGAGATTCTTCATTTTGGGATTGTATTTATAAACTGAGCAAGCCAAATGATTGCTTTTATTTTTCACCACAAGCAAGACAATAAAGCCAATAAGATGTAAGGGGTTACTGAGTGTGAGTGAATATGAGAAAAAGAAAATATTAAAGACAGAGAACAATAATGTAACAGGAATTAAGACAGAAGATAACTGACTGTGGAGCCAAAAAACAGAAGAGAGTTCCACAAGGGGGTTTACTGAGTGTGAACGATATGAAGAAAAGAAAAACATTATTCAGGAGAGAGAACAATAAAGGAACAAGAATAAAGAAGACTATTAACATCACATTTAAACTTTTGAAGTTAAAGGTTGGCTGGAAGACAATTCATTAAGTCTATGTACCAAAGAGGAAAGTTCATCAGAACAATTACAATGGAAATATTTATAGAAAATCTTTTGCATAAAATCAAATACTCACACTATACTCAATTATATATGGCTGTGAAAAGTATCCAATTTCTTTTGATTATAAATAAATAAAAAAAAAGGGGGGTGAAGGAAGTGAGATTAGGTTATACTGATAAATGTTGAAAATACCATAGACAGAGTACATGAAAAATGAAGTTTTGAGTACATGAAAAATGAAGTTTTGAGTACATGAAAAATGAAGTTTTGAGTACATGAAAAAGGAAGTTTTGAGTACATGAAAAATGAAGTTTTGAGTACATGAAAAATGAAGTTTTGAGTACATGAAAAATGAAGTTTTAAGTTAATTGTCACTACAAATAAACTGTTTCTGTCTATATTTTTGAGATGAGGTTTGTAACTATTCACACTATTTACATTGTTCAGATTATTGTCTTTATTGTCATATTCACAACATTTCCAATGTATGTCACCTGAAAAAGGCTGGAGTGTACAATGTCCAATATGTCATGAATATGACAATAAAGATGAGGACAACAGTCCAAACAATGTAAATAGTGTAAATATAAAAAAATAAAAACTGTAGTTAACAAACAGAATGAGAGAGAGTTGAAATTTTATAATGATGAAAGAAAGATTGGAAAATTTAATACTCACAGAACACATTGAATGCAAGAGAAGCCAAAGAAAGAGTAGTGAGTAACCTATTTGAAAAGTTCCTGCAAATGAATGGTGGAACAAATACCACAAAAATAAGATATTGAGATTAACTAAAACAAGAAACTGTAGAGGCATCCATAATAGGCCAAATCCTGAAAGGACATGAGGGAGACTGCTGAGAGTAAATAAAAAACAAACAAGAGGCTGTGGAAATCCATGTCTACTCTTAGTTGTTGATCATTATACAAAAGAAGCTTTTGATCTCACCTTTCCTGGTTAGCAAAATAATTGCTCAGCAGACTGAAGACCCCTGTAACGGTCTCCAAGACAGCAGATGCAGTGGCCGGAAGAATCTGTAAAGTTTCTTTGTCAACCACCTCCTTGATGTATGTTAAGGACTTATATACTTGGTCCACCTCAATTTTCAATTTATCTACATCCTGAAAATAAACAAAGATATCATTAGGATTCATACCAAAATAACATTTCACAAAATATTAGAAGAAAATATTTTTGAAACTATCCCACTGGATGATTTTACCATGCCCAACTTGTACAAATGGACTCAACTGGATGAACTATAGCTGACATAATATAAACAGAGGCAGTTTGACTGTAACAACCATGAGATGGGGACAGTATTTAACCCCATTTGACCACACAATGATTGTTGAGGCTCAAAATGAAGAAGTAATTTTTCCGGTCCCAGTAAAATAGACAAACATGCTTTTTTTTTTTTACTGGTCTCAGTTAAATATACCCCAGGCTATTTTGCTGGTAAATATTTTTATTATTATAAAGGCAGGTAATGATAAAAATAACAACACACAGATTTAACATATGTTTATTTATTTTTACCATCAATTCTTAAGACAATTTAAAATCTTTTCCACCATCAATCGTTAAAACACAAGTTAAAATCATTTATTCATCATCAATTATTAAAAGAAATATTGAAGTCTATGAATATGCACTTCAGTCATAACAGTATCTGCAAATTGAAAACTTGGCTTTTGGGCATGATTCTCTTGCCAGTACACTTCAGGTGCACCTACTGAAGACAACATTCACAGACCACAGAATCCATGTTGTTCAATTCCTGCATACACAGCTCATACAACCACTGCACTGACAATTTACTGGCAAAATAGCCTGGGAGTCTATTTTACTAAGACTGGTAAAATAAGCTTAAAAGCCTATTTGTCTATTTTACTGGGACCAGCAAAATAGCTTATTTGTAAAAGCAATGGTGCACTATCTTTAAAATGGCAATTGGAAAACCTAAGACAAAAGTAACAATGGTTTGTCAGCAATATGTAAATTCTGGCCAGTTATCAACAGTACATAAAAAGTGTGAGTAACTCAGGGGTGAGGTGAGAACAGGATCACTAACCACTGTCAAGGATGGTAAACAACAAATAAAAGGGAAAATGGCATCAAATCACACGTCCCAATTCAATGCTGGTGCCATACAATCCATCAATTAACAGCATATTCTGCATTGTATGGGATTTCATAATCATCAACAAACAAGGATACGACTAACATTATATCTTACTGATGATCACTTGGCCAAGAGAAAATTGGCATTGGACAATGGAAAACCTGGTAGAAGAGTCATGTTTCTATTTCTTTTGGGCAAATGCTTGAGTTTGTATAAAGGAGACAACATGTGGTTATGACTATAGTTTGTTAGCAGGATATTGTGTGAGCAGGTGACCACTAGTTCTGTAATTATGTGAGGCATGTTCTACTGGAGTTTGCAAAAACTCCTAGTGGAACTATAATCAATCTTGACAAATGGAACATATACAAATCTTCTTGTAGACCAACTGAAACCCTTTATACTTGTCATTTTTCCCAATGATGATGTCTTGTTCCAAAAAAATGTTATAAATCCACATCATATAAGTGACACAAAACTAGTTCCATGAACCTTCTGCTGACTTTTCAAGTCAGCTATTGGCTTCCTGCACTCACCCCATTGAGTATATATAGGACATGTTACAAACATCATTACATTTCCAAAAATGTTATGAACAGCCCTGGAACATGTCGCAACAATTCCAGTACCTCATAGTCTCCATTCCATGTTGTATAGCTGCTGTTATTCAGATGACAAGATGAACTATACATCTAATATGATGCTACTTCAGTTTATTTGAAAATTCAACATCTATTGACTGATTTGTTTTTTATGTTTTATCAACCTTTTTGATGCTTTATTGAACACAATGGAAATGTTATATAGTTTCATAGCAAAGGTTGAACAATTTATTTCCACATTTAACTAAAGTGATCACTTTAGTCATCATGTATTAAAATCCTTCTACATCATTTTCTAAACTATCAGCTGTCATATCACCAATTTATTAGAATTACCATTATTATCATTAGATTTACTGCATTGCCATTAAATGGTACAGTGTATTCTTCATTGATTTTTCTTCTTTGTTCTCCATTTTATTAATCTAGCTTCCCCAATAAATTTTGGCAGAATTCTCCCTATATTCCCTTTTATATTTGGTGAGTCATTTGCAGTGTTTAAAGATTCAAATATCATCAAAGTTTAAAGTTATCCATAATTTTGGAGTAATTTCTCAAGATTAAAATGTTTAATATATTGTACAAGAAATATATATGTATAAATATATATGTATAAATACACTACAGTTCAAAAGTTTGAGGATATGTCTGGTAATTCTTTAAATTGCCCCCCCAACCAAAGTAGTTATTTTAAATAAGAGAAAATTATTATACATGGTTAAAAAAAAGTAAGACATAATTTTTTATTAGTAATTTTATTATGACAAAAAGAAAAAAAAGAATTTTATGATTAAATTTTGCTCTTGTCAAAATATCCTCCTTTAGCTTTGATTACTGCAGCACAAATTTTTGGCATTCATTGTAAAAGTTTCTCAAAGTATACGTTTGATAATTGATTTCATTCATTATTCAATGACTCTAAGAGCTCTTTTACATTTTTTTTTTTTTTTCACTTTTCTATCAAGTTCATCCTATGCTAATTTTGGGGGTGGCTTCAAACTTTTGAATTGTAGTGTATATATCAAGCAAAAGTTTCATAAAGAATAAATTGTGAACAGAAAAAAAATTGTTTCATGAACATGGTGACTGTACTAGAATAGATTTTGTCTGAATTTCTGAGATGAGGAAATATTTACACTATTTACATGCAGACTTATCCGCATTGTTATTGTTCTTATCAGGTTTCAGCTGTTGTGTACTTGGATCAAGGCTGTAGGTCACAATAGCCAAAATATTGTGATAAAGATGAGAATAATAGTCTGCATAGAAATAGATATAATAATATAAATAATATTAATACTAAAATATGTAAAAGCACTGTTCGTTTTCACATAGAAGACACTGTATTAAATCCTTTACACTTCTCTGTGGCTACATTTGCTGTACAAAAAGTTTATCCTGACACTGAAGGTGACTGATCCCTGAATGTGTTTGAATTTCATAGTTATATTATCATATCCAGCTATGGCAACAAAAAACAATTTTGAGTGAAATTAACAATAAAAATACTGCAATTGAAAGGCCCTGAAAAAGAATGCAATGAAAGTAATATTAATGATGTAGAGTGCTAAAGGTTAACTAGTTTCATATTCTGAATCCCACTTTGGATTTGAAAGGTTATATATCAGAAACAAAAAAAAAAATTATTTCAACTATTTTTCCATATGTAAAAATTAAATATAAATTTGTTTTCTGTGAAGAAAAATTCATAGATATATTTCAATTTATTTACACTATTTACATTGTTCGGACTATTGTCCTCATCTTTGTTGCAATATTCACAAATGAATATGACAAAAGATAAGGACAACAGTCCGAACAATGTAAATAATGTAAATAATAACAATACTTCATCTCCAAAATATAGACATATATTTCAATTTATATTGGATAATATTTACGAAAAGTAGACTAAGAAAATGAGGCTAGCTAAAGAAATGTAAAGGAAGAAATTCATGGTTTTATATGTGAAGATTGCTTATTGCTAAAATCAACATCACCCAAAAGATTAACATTTATCATCTGCTCCACTGAACTGTTAAAAACTTAGGATCAACATTACGCAGGGTTTGGATAAATTGAAGGACAGACAGAAGACAGACCAAACTAAAGTAGATAGAGCCCTACTACAAACGTCCGTTCAAGTCCTCTTTGAGCATATTCTTGAAAAAGTAACAGATTTAATTGGGTCAAAAAACAGGATACACATTCCTCACTTAAAATGGCAGTCAAGGAATCTACCCATTACCAACCTCAAACTCTTTAGTCTACAAGTGGCAAATTGGACTTCTGAGCAAAAAAGATGCCTAAAACTTTATAATGAAGTGTTTTTTTTTGTTTTTTTTCATTTATTATGACATTTTATTCATCATCAACATTTCCAATAGCAAAATAAACCCCAATGACATATACTATCTTATCACAAAAGATATTATCTGTTCACCAAATATACTTGAACATTTGTGATATTTATGTAAAAATAATACACTCCCTTATTCATCATCAATAATGACATTGAAAAAAAAAAAAAATAATCAAAAATATATGAAAAGCATAAACAAAATTAGCAATGTCAGTGTGTCACACTTTTTCAGTTAAAGAGATACAACTCTAACTTTCAACAGCTCATGTGACAGAAATTTGGATTCCCAAGTTTTCATTACTGCAATTGTTTTCTGTGATTTTTTTGTGTTGAATTTTTTTGTACAATAACAATTTTTATAACTTGCAAATAAATTTGGGAATAATCAAAATTAACTGCAAAATCAAGTGAAAGTCATCCATGAAACAAAAATAATTGTTTGTACAGAATGTAAGGACCTATGAACATCAAATTGTCTTTAAATGGTGACAGAAGAATTATCATTTAACATTTAAAAAGTAAGCTTAAATATTAATGCAATACTTAAATGCAGTGATCAACTTTGAGTTCTTCTGTAGTTTATTTTTGCCTATCATATACAGCAGCAGTATGCCTTGCAAAAAGAAATCTCCACCAACAGAGGACCAGATTGCAATCAAAAGAGCCAAGAAAACACATCCCATGCAAGTGAAAACCCAGATCAAATGGCAGCCAAGAGAGCTTCCCATGCTGAGAATATGCAAAGAGTTAAGGACTCTCAAACTCCTGCACAAGCCAAAAGCCAAATTAAGATCCTTCTACAGGAGCTAGTTTAAATACCGCACAATAGGGTGGCTTTTAAGCTAGTATTGAATATGTTAATGTCACTTCTCAAAGTAATAGACAATATACTCATATCTTAGGCAGCATAAAAGGATATCAATAGAGTATTGTAACATTATTTCAATTTAATAAATTATTTTATGAAAACCAAAACAGTGTTATTTAATAGATTTTCATGTTTAGCTCACGCATATCTCACAGGCACACCTT